GGAAGTTAACGGGACAAACTTAGTCTAAACAGGAAGAGAAGCAAAGAGCACAACAGTGTTCTTGTTTCCAGTGTGTTTAATGAAGCATAAGACCTTAGTATGGGCGGTTCTTGTAATCTAAACGACATTACATTGGCACCTCGAGTAGGTTCTTTTCGAGGTCTTTTGCAATTGTTTCTCATTGTGAGGAGTCTCTGGAATGAGATGATCATGAGAGTCTCCATGTGCTGCCCGTTGCGTCTTCTCTTCTCATTCTTTGTCTTCATGTCCCAAAGTGGACGCGAATCCTTCAATGGGGGCCCAGCGAGCTTTTCAGTATCCTACTGCTGTACATACTGCTTGCGATGCTAGAGCTCTCAGCCCGTGCTTGCAGTTTCCCGATTTCTCGACACTCAGGATGTCGGGATTGTCTTCTATGGGCCTCATAAAACCAGCCATACGAACCTAAGTTTGCAGCAGCTTGATGTCGCAGCCCCATGTCTCAAATTGGTTTTGTACAAAAAGGATCCAAAGGTTGTCTAACAATGTAAATGAAGGCTGAGAAAGCAGACCCTCAAGGGAAACCAGACCTCGCTGCAATCGGGTCAGCCGAAACGGCTGTGTCACAATGGCGAGATTCTGCGAAAAGGACAGCAAATGATGAAACGGAACTGCATGTGAGCACTGGGATGAGTACTGAGAAGCTGGCAGGAAATTCCGAGGTACTTAACAGAATTCCCAGCTATTAGCCGATTTTGGCTGGGGAAGAAATCATAGAAGTCTTTGACGGGAGAGAGAAAGTCATATTCGAAGTGTGGCACTCAGATTTTGAGTTTCGTTTTGGGCGAAAGCGAAGGATGCAAAAACCTGAAAATCATCGATATGCTCAGGCCGAATGCGGCGCTTGTTAAAAAAATCTGAGCTGTGCGGCGCTTCAGGCGTGCAACATGCAACGCTTCGAAGCCGTGATGCGGAGGCCGGATGAGGACAGACTCTAAACTTGGTCCTCCCCTTAAGCTGAAAGCTAGGATAGGATAAGCCAATAAGCTATTATAATTAGGATAGAATAGGATAAGCCAAGCCATTTGGGTGTGCAAAGCCAATTGTGGTAGTTCTGGAAGCACAGGCTGAAGTATGAACCACTACCCAGGGGCATTTCCTCAAAGCTTAGATGCTTCGAGTGGACAACGTTTTACTATCTTTTTAGGTGTTATATATTATCTATCTATAATATTTTTGGGGGTAGGCCGCTAGTAGAGGTAGGTTAGCTAGCAGAAGAGGTAGCTACTACCTACAAGTAAGCTACGACCTAGGACGCAGGATAGGTCACGCTTCCTTGAAGAAGCGCTCGCACTAATGATTAGGGAAAAAATTAACCTGTCCAGGGCAACACATCGTCGTCTCGTGCAGCTGCGGCCCAGAGCATTGAACTGAGAGATGTGTTTGCCACATTCGTTTCAGAAGCTGTTTCTGGCGGAGGGAATTAGAAGCCGCATAAGCTTGAGGCTTTTCGGTGTATCACAGGTGCCGGTTGGTCTATTTTGCTTTAGTGGCGAAGATGTATGAATGAAGGATTCTGAGCTGATCTACTACTTACAGAGCCACGCATACTTGTTCCGAGAACGAATTTCGCTGACAGATGACCCACTTTTAGAGAAAGCACATGTTTTCCCATTGGTTTCCTTTTGCTATTAGGTTGGAGGCCATCGCTGGCAGGTTGGAGAAAGCATGGTTTTTCCTCAGCTTGGCCCTCTGAGGCTGCGCAGGCTGTGCTTGCTCGGTGGAAAGCCACCATGGCTCAGACCTCAACACCTCAGCACGCACTGAGCTGCTCAGCTCATTTGCCTAGGCGACTGCCACCCAGGCGATGAACACCAAAACGAAGGAAACGTTCTTCAAAATTTAATTCTAATAGCTTTTTGTTACTACTAGTAAGGCACTTGTTACTACTAGCGTGGCACTTGTTACTAGTAGCTATTAATTTCTTCCAAAACGCCGAAGACGAACCGCTTTGGAACCGAAAACGTTTCGGGAGGTTCCGATCACGCTGCCGAGCGGGCCGAGCCTTGAAGTCACCAGTGGCTTGCTGAGGATTAATGTTTTTGTCCGCTCGGCCCCCTGGCCTCCTAGTTAACTAAGTAGAGACTACCTACTTAAGTAAGGGAGAATTAAGCTACTAGCAATAGGAAGCTCCTACATATGGACGGACACAGGTGGGGGGAGCGATTCATTGAAGAAGTGCTTGTGCTAATCATTTGGTTCCTAGTTTTTAAGGTTAAACTTAAAGGTTGCAGTCTGTTGCTTTTGTATGCTGTTGGAATCCGAGGCCCACCTGCCAGGAGCAACTGGGAAGAGTCCGATACTTAGTTGCCAAAGACCATGAAACAGATTTGGAGGAAAGTCTCAACAGTGGTAGCAGAAGCATCTTACGTATACTGGGACGCAAGTTGCACGCAGTAGCATGCGCTGGTTTATAGATGGCCAGTGGCCAGGACAAAACATGCCAGTTTCAAGCGGGCTTGAAACATGTAAGGAGCGAAAAACCAGAGCCTGAGTTGCTGACAATGCTCCAAATCCTCGAGCCATACACGTTCAGGGAATTTGTGGCCGAGGTGGATGGTGAATTTGCGCGGGGAAGATGCTTGGAGCCCAGTCCTGCTCTGTTTTCTGTTCCAGGTCACTCGGTCTTAGAGCTTCCAATTTACAAAAAGATGGGTTGAGACTCGTGGCAACAGGGTGAAGGCCATTCCGATTAGCTTGGAGGCCATTCCTACTAGGTTGGAGGCCATCGCTAGTAGGGTGGAGGAGGCCATTCCTTTTTACACTCCATTTCGAGGCGTGGCTTGCTTCCCCCCGAGATCTCTCCTGGTTCACCGGGAAAGCGCCTGTGTGGGGGGCCCTGTAGGGCCCAAGCAGGGATCGAAGGGGATCGAAGGGAGTCGGTGAAGGAGCAGGTAGGTCAGGTATGTAATGTAGTTTGAGTCATCTAACACGGTAGAAATGTATAAAAGAAGGGACGGAAAAAAAAGGAGAAATTGAGGCTCTAAAATCTCTAAAGGTCTGAAGAGTTCTTGCTTTCTTTTTTTCTAGTGACGTCCCCTTCCCCTCTCTGCCAGGGCCACGGGGTAGCTTTTTCCTAAGGTCTGGGTTGTGCCCTGGAGTGTCCTCTGATGGAACTATCCATGCTTTGCCCATGCCCAACTTGGACAAGGCCCACAGGAGTGATATTCGCAAGAGTAAAATTGGATAGGACATGCTCCAGGAACACGAGATTGTATTTCCTGGAGTACCAAGCTTGAATTTCGCTGTGCAACCTCATGCCCAGCTGTTCGCAGGTGACACGCAAGCAAGCTCAGGACTACTTTGACAATTCATGGACGATGGTGGCTTCGATGCAAACATGAACAAGCCAAGAGAACTGCTACAACTTGGAAGTCGCTTTTTACAAAGAATCTGCTACTTGATTGTATAGAATAGAGGCCATGTATGTATTGGGTTTAGGAGTCAGGTGAGGTTGGGGAATGCTTTGCACCTGAAACCACTGTGGGAAAGCTTGTCCAAGATTCCCACAAGACTCATATCAAAATTCAAGAAGCCAAGCTGTCCTTTATCCACTTCAGGAGCACTACAAGTGAAGTAGGCAATATTTGCAATGCATTTTGGTTTGGAAAATGCAAAAACTAGAGCGCGTTTAAAAAGAACCTTGGGCACCCTTTAACGAGAACCTTCTTGTGACGCGAGGCCTCAATTCTGATCCCTGGAGTCTGTTTGAGAGGTCAACAGGTGATTCTCTTTCAGGATGCCATCGGTGCACATCATCCATCAACCAGCAACTTAAGACTGGAAAGTGGCCCGTTATCGCCCAGTGGTGGCGGACTTGTGGGCGGTGAAGTTTCCCTCAAAATCTCGGAACCAAATGAATCGTGCGAGCGCTTCTTCAAGGAAGCGTGAGCTATCCTGCGTCCTAGGTCGTAGCTTACTTGTTCCTAGTAGCTTCTTGTTTCTACTAGCTTCTTGCTCCTAGTAGTAAGGCACTTGTTACTAGAAGCGATGCACTTGTTTCTAGTAGCTTCTTGTTACTACTAAGTAAGGGGTTTCAAACGAAGACGCTTAACATTGGTGATCCTAACACGCCCAGCTTTGGGGCTTGGATTTGGAAAGCGACATCCTGTCCAATTCCAAGGTGGAGTGCCTCTTCGCCGGATTCAAGGGTGAAGAGCCCTTCTATCGTCCTCCAGTGCATGGCTTCGCTCCAAGCGATCTTCAGAGTTTGGTTTCACATACCACACGGATCACGAGCTGCTTTGAGCCTTTCCAATGCTCGAGGACTACGCCATCCTCAGATCTTCTACTATGGCCTGTGGCTGATGTGGTTCCATTTGGCATGTAGATGAGACGCAGTGTAACAAGGTCACACCCCTTGCCTGTATGTCAACAAGCTTCGCGTTGCTGGCGTGCTTAAGGAGCGACATTCGTTTACGCCGCAGTCAAAAGAATTAACTTGGCCCGTCTTCAAAGGCTAATCTGTTCATTTTTGCATTTCTGGGCCGTCTCCTTGTACCGGCGAGGAACCAGTGAATGCCTACATGGAGTCCATCTTTGAGGCTATGGGACGAAGAGTCTGGACTTGCTCCAAAGATGTTCAAAGAATCACACACAAAATGGCCTCCAACCCAATAGCAAGGGGAACCTAATAGCGATGGCCTCTAACCTAGTAGCGATAGTGAATCGCACAGATTTTACCATCCAGGTGAGTCTTCAGGTCATGTTTCCACATTCGATGAGACCGGTTCCGAACAGCTCCCCTCTGAAACCTGTGACCGTCGCGAAAAGGGAGATCATTTTGGCCCAAGCTACTAGGAGCAAGGACGCTACTAGGGGCTCTTTAGTGCTAATGACCTGCTAGTGTTTTCAACAGACACTCGAGCTTGTTGCAAGGACCTGTGCTAACTTTAAGTAGGCTGAGCCGAACACATGGTCACATCGCAGACAGCTTTGCGAACTTGTATTTGCTGACGCACCTAGGAGCAAGGAAGCTACTAGGAGCTCCTGGCATCGCTACTAGGAGCAAGTGCCTTACTACTAGGAACAAGAAGCTACTAGGGGCTCCTGGCATCGCTACTAGGAGCGGTCGGACGCTACTAGGGGCTCTGCGCCTACCAGGAGCGGTCGGACGCTAGGGGCTCCTGTGACTCACCCTTCCTTTTGGATTCCAAAGGGAAATCCACCGACCATGTCTGAAACTGTGGTGCCATGCCTACAGAATGATGCCCACAAGATTGGAGCCGTGGCACCTTGACACTAATAGCGGCCTCCAACCTAAGAGCTGTGGTGTCTTTTCTTTGGAAACAGTAAACAGTCCGTTTGGTACTGTGACATAGATTTCTTGTTTCTTTGAGATGTTCAGATGAAAAGCAGAAATGCTGCCATTGTACCACATGTGCCATGTGAGGTGGCCATTTTCACAGCCCTGAGCTCCAGCAGCCTGGCACATTTGCTGCACCATATCGGCACAGATGTTCCAGAGGAATACTCCTTGAGGCAGACATTCGGGCGAGACAGACGAAAAACAAGATGCACATGAGAACATGTGCAACATGTTCTTATTAAACAAATGCACATGATGATGGCCTGTTCCCCTCACCTGCAGGGGAAGGAGCAAGAGATTGAACATGGACAAATAGGACCAGAAGAATAGTTTTTGCGCCAGGGGCTGTCGTGGGCGGATTATTCAAGACATCTCCTGTGGCGGCATCTATCTACCGGAGCCGCTGGGATGTCTACAGCCATGGCCATCGCCCCTAGGTTGGAGGCCATCGTTAGTAGGTTGGAGGCCATTACTACTAGTAGCAAGAAGCTACTAGGAGCAAAGGGCATCGCTACTAGGAGCAAGAACGCTACTAGGGGCTCCTGGCCGTACTACTAGGAGCATCCTTACTACTAGCAAGAAGCTACTAGGAACAAGTGCATCGCTACTAGTAGCAAGTGCCTTACTAGTAGTAACAAGAAGCTATTAGAAGCTATTAGCAAGAAGCCTGTAGGACGACTTTGGATCGACAAATCCTCATCGACTTCTAGACTTGACTTTCGTCGCTTTCGCCGCTTTCCGAGGTATCTCATCTTTGCCATTGGCTTCACATTTGTCAGCCTTTGTATGTGCCATGCTTTCCAAAAGGCGCGTGCTGAGTGCTATGTACATGGTTCTAAAGAGGTGACTTCGACAGAAAAGATGCAAAGGCTGGCTACATCCTCGAGAAGTACAGTACGCTCTCTTCTAGGCGTTCGGGAACGCACATGAATCATTCAAGCCGCATAGAAATCTTCCATCGTATTGGTGTTTGCAGTCATGCTTTGTGTATCGTTTCTGGGAACTGCATGGAATTGCCAAGAGTGCAGAGTGGTTCAGGTCTACGCAAGGCACACTGCGACTTGAGCTAGAAGACCTTTACAATCCCAGTCCAACCTTTGGGATTTTAAGAAGCTACTAGGGGCTCCTGGCATCGCTACTAGGAGCAAGGACGCTACTAGGGGCTCCTGGCCTTACTACTAGGAACAAGAAGCTACTAGAGGCCCTCGCCATCGCTACTAGGATCATCTTGATAGTCTCCAAGCGCCAGGTTGGTGCGAGTCTTTCGCATGGCTGGCCTTGTAGGCTGCGTTTCGATGATACCAATGGCGTGGATTTCTATGCGGTTCCACCGGGGGCACCTCGGTGAAACTCGCACGGCGAAACTCGAACCTCGAAACGACTCATATGACGACTCATACGACGTCTCATGAGTTGCTTGACAGTGTCTGTTCCACTTCTCAAGGTCTGTTCCTAAGCGATGAGGCCTCCAACCTAAGAGCGATGGCCTATTCCTAAAGCTTTTTTCCTTAAGCCTTTTGTGCATGTTCCTTTTGCCAAGAAAAACAAAGAGAATGTAAGGAGCCTCTTGGGATTGCACATGTTGTCACATTTGCAGACAAGGACGCTACTAGGGGGAGGCCATTGGCCATTGCAATTAGGTTGGAGGCCATTACTACTAGTAACAAGGACGCTATGAGTAGCTGCGTAGCATTTTTCCTGACCTTTGCTCACAGATGCTGAGGTTTCATTTGCTCTTCGCCGGACTGACGATGGGTCCATGGTGTGTTGCCTTTAGCGTCCGCTGCTATTCCGGTTGCCCTCCCTGTGGCTTGGAGCAGTTGGGAACTTCGTAGACCACCTGAGCTCACCTCAACACCTCCCAATTACGCTCAGTGTGAAACCCTGATGTGTATTGATGTCACAATCCATCACAAAGCAATCCTATAGATGCAAACAAAATGTCTTCCAGATCTGAATTGCCTTATCTCGACTGAGATCACCGCTTTGCAGTGATCACATGCGTCATGGCTGCTGCTCCTTGGAAGAAAGGCTGAACTTGCGAGGGGAGTTGAACTTTCCCTTTTGTATCCTGCTGAGTTCTTGTTGTTTGATTACTTTTCCTCTTTAATCGGAGGGGCAGTCAAGGGGGTTGGCAGAAGTAAGACGCAGCTAGATGATCTGCTAGAAGATGTAGACTAAACTACAGTTGCACTGATGAGAAGTGTTCGAATTCATCAAGACCACTTCTTCTTGAACCTTTCGACCCACAGGGGTTGGGGAAACGTCCGCCTTGGGCCAAGTAGCAGTGACTTTCCTATATACAGATCTCTGACGCAATGCACGACTGTTTGCTCCATGAACACAGGTGCTGATAGTCTGGTGGTTCACATCGATTCTTCTTGGCTTTTCCAAGCAATCCTGGGCAGACTCTGGGCAAGGAACTGAAGGATGTTGCTGCAAAACATGTGGAAGAAAAGTAATAGGGAAGTGGAGAGACTGTAGCGCTAGTGGCTAGCGGTAGCCTAGCGGCCTAGAAGCCTAGCGGTAGCAGCTTGAGGTCCTTTAAAGTCTCAACATCTGAGGAATGGGTGGCATTCATTTGCTTCTTGCTGCATACGTTCACCTTCCCTGTACCTGCTTCGCGTTCTTCCATTTTTCGGTCAGAGCAAGAACAGGCAGAGGTGGAGTTGGAGCCAGCAGGCAGAGGGAATTAAGAAGGGGGCTGCAAAAGCCAAGGAGGTGTAGAAGGCACATTACGGTTGTAGCGATGCACTTGCTACTAGTAGCTTCTGGCTACTCTTTTACTGTTTATTGGTTTGGCCAAAGCATGGCACATCATGGAACATTACACTTGCTGACGCAACACAGGAGCCTAAGTGAGAACATCCGACAGCTGCCTTTTGCAAGAGTGAGAAGCATGTGAGACGGGGCAACTCGAGTATGTCCGAATTGAGAGACCCAACGATATCTGTGGAGATTGTCTGGGTGATGCCGGATGCACATTGGGTCCCCTGTTATCGCAGACCAAAAGATTGGATGGAACATGATGGAACCGTTTTTGGCACAGGGACACAATGTTATGGCTTATTTAAACTGAACCGTCGAAGGAATGACATCAGAGCCAAAGATGCTCAGATGTCTCGAAGGCAAAGCGCTATTCTTTCTCATTGACACGCGTTTTAATTTGCTTTAATTTGTTCTTGATTCGTGTTTCAATCTTTAAGGGGTTTGCCATACAGCTTCAATTGTGTAGCCGCTTCTGGGTTTCCACATTGAATTCTGATGTGGCACAGTGTGGCACTTTGATGACCGGACAAGTAAAACATGCTGCTTGAGCACCGAGAGCCACAATGGCAACATCATGCAGTTCTTCTTTGGCAAACACCATTCAACAAATATGCTAAATGAATGTAGATATCCTTTGTACTTATTGTGCAGTTGCAGGTGGGTGTGGATGAGATGCTGTGGGATGACATGCACAAGAATGAGACTTGGCAAGCTCAGCTCCACTGGTAAAGTTTGGGTGACGAAGTCCTTGAACTTGCTCAAGCTAGGCAGCTGGGTAGCTAGGGACCAATAATGACATAGCTAACAGCTGCTAACAGCTTGTGGAATGCAAATTCCCAGGATATGGTGTGGCCGAAGGTGAAGGAGGTGCATGTGGTGTAGTGTGGGTGAGTTGAGCTGAAATTATGTAGCCGAAGTCGAAGCATTCAGGGAACCTTTCCTACTCGCAAAATCGATCCAGGTGCAAGAGTACCGCAAACAGGTGTACAAGATTGTTAGTGATGCTGCTGCCTTACATTCAAATTTGGACATGTCGAAGTGTCCAAAAGAGAGCAGTGTTTTGGTCAGAATAGAATGATAGTGTGTTTGCAGGCGAAGCTGAGCATTATTTTTACAGATTTCAGCCTCTAGTTGCTGCATGGCTCGCTCAAGATATGTTTTACTCCAAAGAACTAAACTCGCTCATGCTTCGGAACCTTCAAGAAGCTTCGAACACTTGTGAGCGGAGTTGAGGTCATTGCCACGCACAGTGGCCTTGAGGGCGAGGCACGGATAACTTGGGACCACCCGCTCTGGTGCCAGCCTTAGAAACGATGTGACCCAGATCATTAGAGAAAAGGAGAGGAAGCTAATAGCGATGGCCTCCAACTTAAGGGCGATGGCCTCCAACCTAAGGGCCATGGCCTCCAACCTAGCTAGCAATGGCGGATGATGAGTCATGTGATCACCGGACATTTTTTTGACACAGTGTGTCGTTTTTGTTGTCAAGCTGTTAACGTCATTAGACATTTAGGGTGAAGGCATGGCATAGACTTGGCCTAGATGCTTTCCAGAGGAGGTCTGAAGTTTGGGAAGTTTGACATAAAAACACATTGCGCTCACTAAGACACCTTCAGCCTTAGAAACTTCAGACGGAATGTGCATGGGGCTTCAAGGTCGATCTTTATGGGCATTGAACATGAAGCCATCCACTTGGAGACGTCATCCGTGCTCTTTCGTGAGACCCCAGTCCATCTCATGCAAGCCGGGGGCCCTGTTAAGGATTGCAAGTTGTCCTGGAACTCAAGTCCTGCAAGGGATTTGACATTTGGAAGCTTTACCAGAAATATAGAATCATGTACATCATGTAGATTACTTCAAGTTTCGCCTGTGATTTTGAAGCTTTCGCAACACGTCGCTTCGCTTTAAAGATGAGTTGCTTTAGACTGAGGCGACAAACCAACCCGGACTCGAAGGGTTCGCCATCGAAGCGTTTTCAGGTACCTGCGGCGTGGCCACAGTCTGCAGCTGAGTGACCTCTTGGCTTAGTACGGTTGGTAGCTGCTAGTAACAAGGTGCCTTACTAGTAGTAACAAGTGCCTTACTAGTAGTAACAGGTGCATCGCTTCTAGTAACAAGTGCCTTACTAGTAGTAACAATGTTTGCTATTAGAAACAAGTGCATCGCTTCTAGTAACAAGTGCCTTGCTAGTAGTAACAAGAAGCTATTAGAATTGAAATTAGTAGCTTCTTGTTACTACTATATAGTAAGGCACTTGTTACGAGTAGCGATGCACTTGTTTCTAATAGCTTCTTGTTGGCAAGAAACGACCTCAGAATGAGATTGACAAGAATGGTGAATGGCCACTCATGTTCAGTGACTGGTTAGTGACTGGTTACCTGCGCTCACAGAAATTCACCTCACGATGATTGCTCATTAATTTGCCTTTGACGCTTTCGAAGAGGACCGTTGTTTTGGTGTCGAGTACAACCCTCCCGTTGTGTTGAAGTCTATGAGCTGAGGCTGCACCCTTCCCACCGTCGCACTGGCTTGATTTCGTTCGATACGCCAACAATACTAGTGGCTTCTTGTTCCTAGTAGCTTCTTGCTCCTAGTAGTAAGGCACTTGTTACTAGAAGCGATGCACTTGTTCCTAGTGGCTTCTTGTTCCTAGTAGCGATGGCCTCCAACCTAGCGATGCCCTCCACCTAATAGCGTCCTTGCTCCAGTCAAAGCATTTTCTCGTCTCGGCCGTTTTGGCAGGTACGAAATCGACTCTTCAGGAGTCGACCGACCCGAGAGAGTCCCGAACAGGAATGGTTTTAGAGATAGCGGTGGCCTCCAACGAGGAAGCACACAGGAACGAAACAAAAGGTCAAAGTTGGAAAGATAACGGACAAAGAAACTACTAGGAACAAGGAGCTACTAGGGGCTCTTGGCATCGCTACTAGGAGAAAGGACGCTACTAGGGGCTCCTGGCATCGCTACTAGGAGCAAGGACGCTACTAGGGGCTCCTGGCATCGCTACTAGGAGCAAGAAGATACTAGGAACACATTGAGGTTGAATGATGTTGAATGCCACACGCCCCGCTGCCTCGCTTTCACCACCGATCAAGTGGCTAGGGCAGTGACATGAGGTCAATTTTCTAGGCGGCATCTCTTAGACATGCCAATCTCGCTTTTCTTTGGCACAGGCAGTCACAACCAGAACAAAGCCTCAAACAAAAAAGTACCAATGCCTTGTGGGTTTCTCCGTTGGGGACCTTTGACATTGTGAGCACGTTGCATAAAGCTTCGGCTTTGGATAGAGTGTCGAAGAATGGTAAGCGCTTCAAGCCTTGGCTTTGATTTGCTGCCTGAAATCAGAACGGCCAAGCCACGACTCCCTGATGACTCTGAGAATTCGCCTTCACCACCTTCATCTTGGCAGCTTTCATCGTTTCCCTCGTTTGCTCCACCAGCCAGATCAGTCTCTGAAGACTTCCAAGGACTCATTGATCTACTGGTGAAGCAACACGCACAGGAGCTGTCCGCAGCGAGGACTGGAACAGAAAGTGAATTGACAGAGAAAAGGGCCGCCTCGAAGGTCAAACCTGGAAGGAACAGCTTCACAAGCTTAAACAGCAGCAAGGAGCGGTCGAAGATTAGGCCTGGCAGAAAAAGCTTAGCAAGTTTGACCAGCGCTCAAAGCAGAAGGAGTCTGAGCAAAAGAAGACATCAAAGCCAACTGGGTGAACTCATTGCTGAGAGGCACAAAGACATGCGAGAAATCCACGCAGACGAGATTTTGGATGTGTGGACGGAGTCGCTGAATTCTGGTATGTTTCAGCAGGAACCGATGATGGCTGCCTTAAGGAAGAGCAGGACCAACCTCACAGAGAACTCTGAGATCCCGCCGGAGGTCTATCAGCGAATGAGCTGTTTTCAGCGGATCCAAGCTTGGTTGGAATCTCACAACTATGAGGTCCTGCCGCTTGGACAGTGAGCCACAAGGGTTCTTTGGTGGGTCAAGGTTCAGCAAAAGTTCACATAGCGAAAGAAGACTCGCGATTCTGAAAGGTGCTGGGTTCAGTTTGGGGAACGTGTTGTGTTGGAGATTGGCCGTGCCAAGGATTGCTTTTGTGCTTTGCCTGAACGTTTTGTGGATGGCCTTTGAGCTTCAGGTGAGAGAAATTTGAGGTAGTTGCTCTAAAACATTTGCTATGGGTTGGAGGCCATCGCTATTAGGTTGGAGGCGATTGCTGTTAGGTAGTATCCCTTTAAACCCTTAATTAGACCTGAACCATTTTATGCGCCAGGTCTATGGCTCTATGAGCGGATGGGAATTGGGGATATATTCCGAGCCAATCCTTCCGCCCGAAGGCCGGAGAATCACTCGGAATGAGAAAGAACCTACAGGTGACTAAAAGGCTTAACAGGTTTATGGTTGGGAAGCAACATGAAGCAACTACCCTGACAATGTGTTTTTTCCTTTTCCCTTTGTCTTTCATTGTCTTATTCCAGAAAGACTTGGCGTACAGGATATGACTTTGTACTGGACTTCGATTGTTAGTTCACTTTGTAGTTTACCTTCCAGTTACTTTCTCATTTATTGTAAGGGCTCCGCCCGGGTGCCGCCGACCCCTATTTGAATGAAGCCTCAGATCCAAATCGTGCGGGTCAGAAGCAACATTGCATGGAATAACCCGCACCTAGATTAATGGGCATAGCATATTCAACAAAAAAACTCCAAGACAAGAGGCCCCAGGTGAAAGCGAGCGAGAAGAGCCCCTTCCAATGCATTTTTGCTACATTGGGCAGCTAGGGAGGCAAGACGGCCCACGTAGTCTTCAGTTCGAAAGGCGTGATAGAACCGGGAGTTCTCACCTGTTCATGGGTAGTGCTGGTCCCACACCACCGGATTGTGGTGGCCTGGTCGCAAGCAATGTCACGACGGGACAAATTGAT